AAAATCAAAGAATCCAACTTAATTGAACAAAACAACCCTACTCTAAACCAACACCCTGGGGTGCCAAGATATCTCTTTTAAGTCGTGCAACAGTATTCGGATATGTGACCTCTTTGTTCCATACTGTGTATGTATATATATATCTGTGTTAGTGTAAACTACTTGTACCTGATGATGATGATGACAAAACCTTGTCGAAACGTTGTACATTTGCTGTTATGTTAAACTTATATTAAAGTTTTTCTTCATTACACATTCAAGCCATCTCCAAGCATTACTAATCCCAAAGTGGGTTCCTTGCCTGATATTTTAAATCCAAGCTTAGCTGTAGCTTCAATAACAAAGCCTAAAAAAAGATTTAAATCCAAACCAATCTTAGAGGTTTTAGAAGGATTTCTAACTCCTTCTGATGTTAAAAATATGCTAACTTATTTAAACTGTAAAATCTAATATTACATAGAACTTTAGAAAATGATAAATGTAACAAAGAGGTCTTATATAATAGCTAACACTAATTCTGTGTCTGATGATTTTTATCTAGTTGTGAACTTGAATTTATACAATAATAAAAACTATAACTGTGTGAGCTAGGTATTAAAATGTAGTTTCATGTTTTAATAATAACACATAATAGACCTTATTTTGCGGTTTGCAGGAATGACGCACTTGAAAATTTAATGCATCCGTCTTCGTCAATTTCCAAGTGCTAAATAGTCACTTTTTTATGTTTTTATTATTATTACCATTTAACTTTCAAAACAACTAAGACTAATAAGAAACTGCCTAAAAAAGAAAAAAAAATGTTTCTTAGTTTAAAAGTATATTATTAAAAAATAAAATAAACTGAACATGTATATACTACTTTAAAGAATAAAAAATAAATTATTAAATACAATTAAATGCTTGAAAATACATTAATACTTATAAGAAAATAAAAATATCATCAAAAACCCTGTGGAGAACTTGTAATCCTTAAAGTAAAAATGACTGACTAAATAACGTAGCTCCTATATTACATCTACTAGATAATTTCAATGATTTACTCACCAACATCAAACACTACTCTGTTTGTATTAATAACGAGTTGGTTGTCAAGGCCTTGAGGATTGCGACTTGCTCGAATCATTTCTTCTCTATCCCAAATGCTCTCTCCAGTTGGACTCTGAGAGTCAGCTTGTACAAAAGAGTTCTGCTGGTACAATCCATGGTCTGGGGTGTGCCTGAATGTTGGAGACATTTCTTGATTTTGTGTCAGTGTTTTCTGATAACCTGAGGAGGCCAGGCAGAAAAAGAATAAACATTTATGTCAAAATGATTTGATTTTACTTTTAGAACCTAAAGTGAGTTAAACGAATTTATTACACAAACAAACATATGAAAAAAATAGCTCTTTGTTTTCATTACACATTTTACAGTTAATTAAAACTAAAACATCTTCATCAAAAAATTTTAAACTGTTTATCAATATCAGATAAAATTAATATTGGGGAACAAAAAGAAAAATAATTAAACATCATATTGATTTAATTTTCACAATACAGCTTAAAAACTGTAGTAGTTTTTTTTCTTATACATTATGCTGGGAAACTGAAAAACTATAGAAAGCAACTTTATGGGGGCAGAGAAATAAACCGATAGAAACAACATTACTTACCTATATAACAATATAAGTTTAACAGAGTTTCTATGAAAGTTACTCTACATTGTTAAAATTAAGAGTCTTCACATTAGTTACCATAAAGTATTAGCATTACAAACTTTAATTCTGATTAGATAAATTGTATGTATTGAGCATCTTTTTTATGTAGGAGCAGAAAAGGGGGAAGTTTCTACAGACTTGCAGTCTCTTGTACCTGAAGCCAAAATTAGAAGACATGAAAAGGTATGTGATTAAATGCTAGCTGCATAAGATTTTTTCTGCCAATGTTAATTTTAAATTACTCTTTTACAGTGTACTGCTAAAACATCATGAACACTGAATATCTATAAGTTACACTAACAATAATGAACACTGAATGCCTACATAGTTATTATAATGAACACTGAATACCTATAAAGTTACACTAATAATCATGAACACTGAATACCTACATAGTTATTATAATGAACACTGAATACCTACAGTTACACTAACAGTCATGAATAATTAATGCCTACGTAGTTATACTGACAGTCATGAACACTGAATTCCTATAAAATTACACTAACAGTCATGAACACTGAATACCTACAAGTTACATTAATAGTGATAAACACAGAATATGTATATAATTACATACTATTATGAACACTGAATACCTATAAAATTACATTAATAGTGATAAACACAGAATACTTACATTGTTACATTAACAGTCATGAAAACTTAATATGTTTATAATTACATACCATTATATACCATACTATATATAGTTACACTAACATACAAGAAGGTCAACGCTCTGTGATAGAACTCTGGATTCAAATCCATGCACTACCACATAATATTCCCTTCACTTTAAGTCACAGATGTGTTATTAGAATGATTGTAAATCCCTTAGTGTTTGTGGTTGCATGCTGCTGACTGGCTTCCTTTCCTTTGGTCATTAGGTTAGAATTTGGGAAGGTAGCAGATAGCCTTTTAAGTAGGTTGCCATAAATACAACCTGCAAGGAAATATGTGTGTGTGATTAAATAAACAAAACAGGACAGACAGATGTGGTTATTTTATTTCCCAACATAGAAATTGTGAAGAGGAAAATAAAATTCTTGAATTTAATTGTTTTGTGACCTTATGTATCTGTGTAGAAAAAGATAGATAGAGAATGTCTATTGTTTTTTATTTAGTTGAGCATAATTCATACTTAAGGACTATAAACCTCAAAGAAATAAACCATAATTCCCACTGTAGGACTATAAACCTCAAAGAAATAAACCATAATTTTCACTGAAGGACTGTAAACCTCAAAGAAATAAACCATAATTCCCACTGTAGGACTATAAACCTCAAAGAAATAAACCATAATTCCTGCTGAAGGACTGTAAACCTCAAAGAAATAAACCATAATTCCCACTGAAGGACTGTAAACCTCAAAGAAATAAACCATAATTCCCACTGAAGGACTGTAAACCTCAAAGAAATAAACCATAATTCCCACTGAAGGACTGTAAACCTCAAAGAAATAGACCATAATTCCCACC